TTACTCAGATGCAAATAAATAAGGGATAATAATCTATAATAGCATTTAATAGTTGTCTCCTTTGAAAAAGTCCTCTTTTTAGTGTTGATGTACACCCACCCACAATATTAATCATTTCTAAAACACTGGGGTGTCTTTTTTCTTTTCTTTTTTCTTTTTAATGCTTTAAGCTTATATATTTTATCAGTTAATTCTTCAATTTAATATCTAACTTACAATGTCTTGTTTTGACTACTTTGACATTACAAAATTAGGCTTTTAAAATAGGTGAATCACCATTTTATTTATCTGAATTTTTTTTTATTATTTCAGCCATAATGAATCTGGCAAGACATTGTATCCGTAGTTACAGGAAATCATTTTTCACATCCTTAGCTCCCTTTTGCCAGCAACAACAACAGCAGCAGTACTTCCAATACAGGCAAGTATATACATACACACATTTATTATATACAGGTTTTTAACCCAACATTCAGAAGCAGAGCATTCTATTGAAACTGTGATAGCCTGAAAAGTAATGAACATTCATTTTTTAATAGTTCTTAGACCCCACCAAATAAAATATCCTTTACATTTTCACTACAATTGACAATACTGTAACTATTGTCAAAAAAATATTAAGTGTATAATTTTAAAAAAATCCATGAATCTAAGTAGATGAGTCTCACTTCACTTGGCCTCAAAACACTTCTTTGCCTCTAAGTAAATATGAATTTGTAACAATTTTATTACTTGGCATTAATAAAAAAAAACTTTTTGCTGTTATTAAAAAATGAGGTCACAACATCATCTGGGAGTTGGGTGGGGGGGTAAGACAACCTTTATTATTAAATTTAAATTAACTTTATGAATTCTTAATAACATTTGAATTTTGCACCAAAAAAGTTTGTTCAAAAATATGCAAGTTCAAATTAAGTAAATAAATAAATATACTTCAATTTCAGTATCTTAAATAATCCAAGTTAATCCAAAGGTAAAAAGTAAAAATTTCTTTACAAGAAAATCAATTTCTTAATCCAGTTCCAGCAACAAACTTTCACGTGTTAAAAGTTCAACCCCCAGTCACTCACAGGCCTTGACACAGTATAGCGGCCTAGTATAAGGATCACCTTGGTCAGGGGGAATATTTAATCAGTGCACAAATTTCTTTCACATTGTGATTAATCTTGTAATTTTAAAATTCTTACAATGTGAATTATTGCCTTGTAAAATCTGAAATATTCATGGAGACAGAATTTTAAAACATAGAAAAAAGTAAGTAGAATGAATGTGAATGAAGAAATTGCCCTCAATGAGACTTGAACAATCATTTCATATCCCAGGAACTCGTACAGACATATCTGATGATTGGACGGATTATAAAGTGAGGTGGATTCATGCCTTTCTATATCTGTTTAGAATGAATGAGTATCCCCAAATGACATTCATGTCCTATCCGTCAGTTATTGATTAGTGTAATGTCACTGTGTACCGTTGATCCCTTAAAGAAATTCTTACAGGCTTCCTGTCTAGTGAAAGATTGAATGTATAATCTTATGGAATTGGTATGAAAAATAAAATAATGGCAGAGACAAAACAACAAATAGAGATAAGCCATGGTTCAGAAAATTGAAAGAGTTTTTATTTGCTGTGATGTATAAGGTTTAACCATTTGCTAATCCCAGGGTATTGTATAACAATCATAGGAGACTAAGAGTTTGTTTGGAGTATATGCATATGTATTAAAGAGTTAATCTCTATTGCTATTGGCTGAAGGTATCACTCATGATGGAAGACCCTTGGTGTCACTGCAAAAACTATTTGTTACATCCTGAAGATTTTAATGGCATAAGACTAAAGAAGAATTCACACTAGTTTATTCATGCTCTCAAAAATGTTAGATTTTCTAATGTCCTTACTATCATTAAGCTTTCACAGGTGAGTCATATATATAAAATACATAAAAAAAAAAAAATCCCGAATTACCTCATATGGGGAATAGACCTATTTCAACTGACAAAAAATATTATCAGTTTTATTCAACTCCTGTATATAGACCAAGTTCATGTCAGAATTAGAAATTTAACTGTAACAATTGTCGAAAAACTAATACAGAATTTATCCATTTCAATGTTTCAGTCAGACGAAAGGCACAAGAAAGTAGTCAGGGGAGGGTGGAAAAAGGGAAGAAGTTTTATAAAATTAAACCTGGATATTAACCTTATGACATTAAATTGAGTTTATATGAAGAATGAAGTGTTAATTTGAAATTGAGAGAGTAAGGAAAAGGGGGTTTATTTAAAAAAAAAAAAAAAAAAAAAAATTCAAATAGATAAAGTTAAGTTTAAAAATACAAATTCCTACTTAATAATATTCTTCCAAAGACAAGTTATATTTAAAAATAAGACATATTTAAATAAGTTAAAAATAAGTTAGATAATTTATATTAAAACTAAGTAAAATTATATTTAAAAAACTTATAATTAATATAAAACCAATAGATTATATGAAAGAATATTTAAAAATAGAAATATATTTAAAAATGTAAAGTAAAAAAAAAAATTATACATTAGAAAAACATTTTTACCTTTTAAAAATAAGTTAACTGAAAACCAAGTTTATTTAAAAACTATAAAATTATACTTCAAAAATACATGAAACTATAAGGTTATATTTTTAAAAAAACCTAAAATATATAGAGGTGTAAGTGATAAAAGGAAAGACAGTTCTTAGAACAGGACACAATTATAAAATATAATTAATATGGTGTAAATATAGAAATTAGAGTTAATTATACATTCAACATTTGAAGAGTTAAAGAAATATAGTAGCTAATAAAGTGAAATGTATATTAAGGAAGTTTGAATTTGTTTTTATGTCGACATTTTAAAACTAATTCATTCCTTTGATTCAATAGTTGGCTTTGATTATTGTATTTTATTCTCCTAATTTTTTCTTCTAGACATAAGTTACACATATCTCTAAGACTATTAAGGGTATGTGCAGAACCTATAATCTTCCAACCTATCTGTGGGTTGAAACCTTTCTCCTTCAATTCCCAAAAAGAGCTGTCTGGTGTTTTAATTTAGAGTTGATAAAAGATTGCCTATGAGTATAAAATCTCTGTTTCCATTCGCCAACAGAAATTCCAATGTAAACATTATAATTTTTCATATTTGAGGGAAATGATTGCTTGATATATAACCTTAGTAAATCTGCATTTGCCCTCAACTGAACAACTCTCTTTATATCTACAATTACAGGAGGGTTCCATTTTTATCCCATAAAAATTACTTAAAATATAGTTATGTGAGTTGATAATTTGGTACAGGAGTAGCTAATTTTAATAATTTTCCTATTGAAGATCTTAGAGGTTTGTTTTTTAGAAAATGTTTATTCATTAACTTTAGAAAATACTTTCTGATATTTCGCAGAAGTGGGCGATTGAGCCATATAATTTTTCTATTTCTGAGTTTACATTTCACTTTAGATATTTCAGTGTTACCTGTGGGGGTATAGATATAAGTTGTCCAGTTGAGGGCAAATGCAGCTCTACTAGGGTTAGATATCGAGCAATATTCCCAGGTAGATGCTTCCTTGAACACTACAATCTTAACCTCTTCAAGTCAAGGGTCAGTCATTATTTATCTTCCTTATATTCGTAATCATCTCTATTTCATACTACCTCCTCATTCTTTCGCTTATGGCAATATCATATTGAAACACCAGTTCTTGAATGATTACTGAAGTTAAGCAATGTTGAGCCTGGTCAGTGCCTGGATGAGTGACCATTTGGGAATACCAGGTTCTGTAAGCTTGGTTGTGCAAGTGGTGTAATGAATAATGAGCCAGAATTGGAAATCGGAGAGCCAAGTTCCAATTCAAGTCAGGTTTGTTATATTCCTTTATGTGCAAATATCCTTGGGAAAGGTATGAATTCACCTCTTCTACCTTACACTAAGAGTTAATTAGTAGGACTTGTATCAATAAATAATTATCACCAAAAAACTTTTACAATTAAAAATATTTTCTGGCTTTAAATAATCTTCAAAAGGTTGATAAATCATAAAAATCAATCAATCCTCATTCATAAATGTTATCTTCCCCACATATCCCCATAAACTGTGCCCTACTCTGTAACCCTCTACTTTGAGTGGCTCTTGGGCTTTGTACAGAATGAACACCATTGTAAAACCCAGAAACCTTGTTCATAATCATTTTAACAGTAACCCTCTACCTTGAATGTGTAGCATTGCAGCTCAGACCAGACATCAGGTTAATTTGCAGGGTGTCTTAATACAAGATAAATAATTCTTTGACTGGATCATTACCCAAGACAAAAACCATGAGACAAAATTGTAGCAGTCGGTTAATTTTATTCAGTTGCAACTGTCTCGTAAGCTCCAGTTGCATGTCTTTCTTTCATGTGGTGGGCAACCAGTCATCTGTTTTAGGCTGCTAGGAACCACTGTCTTCTTGAGTACAAGACTTCTTTGTCCTGTCAGATTTCCTCTAAAAATAAATCCTTCATTACAAACACAGGGTCTGTTGACCTGGTTCTTAGTTTGCTCCATTCAGCTGACCTTCTTTGTCAGGGTTGGTTGACTTGGTTTTTGGGACATCCACTCCACTCAGCTAATCAAGCCTATAATTGTCAAAATGATTTCTGTGACATTCTGCAGATGTGTCTGTATCTCTACAATTGGCATTGAAGCTTTATATTTTTTAGAATTAAAAAATAAGCTCAGTTATTTCAGATTTGCGATTAAGTGAGATTATTAATGAATGTGGATTAAATGTTCTAAAGCACTTTTAATAAAGCAGTTTGAAATAAAGTCACCTGCACTCCCCACCCTTCCCATCAGTATAATAATTTTTTAGCTCAAGGGTTTTATGTTATGTTTTTTTTGCATTTCAGTACAAAACCAAAGACCGGAATCTTGATGCTGAACATGGGTGGTCCAGAGACACTAGATGGAGTCCATGACTTTTTACGGCGTTTATTTTTAGACAAGGATTTAATGACATTACCTGCCCAGAAGTAAGTTACTTTTTTCTTTTTTTCACAAACTCCTAGCTTGCATAATTTTCCTGTTGTCATTTCATGTCATACACCATATTTTGATAAGATGTCAATAATTTTTATTTTTTATATTTTATTTATTTTTTTTTTAATTGGATTTGGTTTTTCAAACTATAATTCAAACAAAACATTCTGATATTTTTTCTATAATTTGTCGATTAAACAGAAGTATTTTGTTAGAGTTTATGACATTGCTTCATGCAGGTAATTGAACTACAAAGGCGGGCGGGGGTACTCTGTAATGCGTTTTGTCCTCCAAAAAGACTTAATCTGACTAAAATAATGTTCTTATTAATGGAATTATGTATGTGTGGGAGGGGGTATATAAACAGAATGTTGGTTATAATTATGTACTGAGTGGAAAATCTGAAGATGTAAGAATGCTAATTTTAAATATTTTCAATTTGAAACACACACACACACATATATTAGTATATCAATTTACATGCCTGTTCAGAGATTGTATCTCTGATGCTAATAATAAACAAGCTACGGATATTGGTTTTACTACAACCACACTCTCCTGTAGACTCACCTATTGTCTCTCTGATCTTAGTTCTATTAAACAACATTTCTTAGAAAAGCATAGCTACATACATAATATTAGACAGATATTAGTTGATAACACAATAATACTCACACATGCACACAGTAAAAAGAACCTTCAGATATTGGAGGCCATCTACATGAAAATGAAGCAATGCACACTCAATAAAATTATATTTCAAACTAGTCACAACACATTATGTTGCATCTAGAGATTGGTTCTGTTGTAATACTTCAGTTTATTACATGGTATGATGTCATAGAACTGCATCTTGAAGTTATGATATGCGTCTGCTATTCTGTGACTGTTAGTGTTGCATAGCAATTTCCTATGTCAAAATAATAAAATATCATCTTTGACAGTGGATATCTTTGTTTCATGTATGTATAGCCACTCTGAGGATGGATCATGTGAGCTGAAAACTTTAGCCCAACTTAATAAAAAAAAATATCCAAATGTTGGACAATTTTTGTCTTTATTTTCACCAGAAATTAAAGCAAACATTCAAACTTCAACCTATTAGTCTTCTACCCTTTTTTTTTGACAAAGTAGTAGAATTTCTAATTAACTCTGAATTGGTTAAGCACCTCACATGCAGGGTCTTCTTCAGATAAAACTTCTTTAGGTCAACTGCTGATGTCTTGACAATTATTTCAAAAAGATTCTATCAAACTTTAGACAAGAAGGGTGAATTTCAGGCTGTTGCTTTGAATATCTTGAAGACATTTGACAGGGTTTGGCATTCTGGTCTTTTGAACTGATTCGGTCAAATTATGAAATGAAAGTTGTCTTGAATATCCACTTCTCTGCTTTTCTTAATGCAGGTGTCCCCCCACCAGGGCTCTGTCCTTAGACCTATGCTGTTCCTAATTTTCATCAATAATTTTCTTGATGGTATTAGTTCTCAGCTCTATCTATTTTGATGACATAACTATTTAGTCCTGTCTTGATAGTAAATCTGATTGGCTCGATAAAGGCATATCAACAGCTGATCTAAAAATGACCTACATTCTGCTAACTGGGGCAAGGAATAGCTTATTAATTTTAGTATCTTCAAAAAGGAACTGCTCTATTAATTCTCTGAAAGAACCCTTTCTACCTCCCATCAGCACAGCTGATTCTATCCTCCATTAGTGACTCCTTGTATGTTCTTGGCCTAACATTTTGCACTCACATAAAGTAGAAAGATTATATTGAATCAAATTAATAGGAAAGTTAGTTAACTGTGTCATGCTAGACAAATTCTCGCCTGAATGTAACTTATATATTTATAAGTCTACCATTTGTCTATACTTTGAATATTGCTGCCACATATGTCCTGATGATCCTGCTATATATTTAGACATCTTTGATAAAATCCAAAGAAAAATCTGCAATGTTATTGGTCCTGACCTGGCATCTCTATTTCATTTACATTCCCACTGCTTTAATGTAGCTTCCCTATGTCTTTTCTATAAATACTTTCATGGGAATTGTTCTGAGGAATTTTCCTCTGTGGTACGTAAACTTTGAATTTAAACATAGTACTAGAATGCTGGCAAGGTCTCATCATTTTAGAGTTGAAATGACTAGTTCTATGTTAAGTTTTTTTTTTCTTGTGCTTCCTACTTGTGGAACTCTTCTGGCTTCTTGCTTTCCAGTCAAGTTTGATCTTCAGAAATTTAAATGCAATGTCAGTTATTATCTTCTGTTTTAATTCCTGTTCTTTTATTTTTCTTGTTCCTTAATGTTTTTCTTATATTGTTTTACACTTTGCATCTTAGTGGCTTTATTGCCTTGCTTGAGGTGAAATGATTAAAATATATACATGGCCAATAGATTATGACTTTTGTATGGCAGAAACAGTTAAAAAACTAAGTTGAACTCCAGAACCTTGAAATGTATTCTTTATTTTATTTTATTTTTTTTTTTAATTTCTATCTTGTTCTTTTTTGGGTTAGTTACATTTTTAACTATTATTTAGAAATTGTAAAATAATAAAAAGTAATGGAAAATCTGTTAAAAGAAGAAAATTCTGTCTTGACCTTATTTTCCTTCAGTTACTGTAAAACTACAATTTGTTTATACCAGAAAAAGATTGTCTCCAAAAGTTAAATAAAATATTGAAACTTGAAACCTTGTAGCACACGCTTTTTTTTTTTTTTTTTTTTTTAGCATCATACTTTTTTTTTAGTTTTCTTGCCCATCTGCTTCAGAGAAAGAAAATCCCTCCCAACAGCCAAGGAATCTTAATTTTATTGTGACATTTACTGGGTCATTCAAGTTGACCCTTGGTTTAATAGATAAGTGTGGTAATATGCAGGCTGCATCGCACCTCCCTCTCCCATGAAAAAAAAAAAAATGATGTCTCGCCATGGTCCTACTCTCTAAAGATGCAATGTTATAAAACCAGAAGCTCTGCTAATTGGCAGACCCTCTTCTGTAGTTGCCTTGGAAAAACTTGTCTGTCTTGTGTGGTTCCTCTAACAGAGGTGGAATATCCTAAACTTTCATATCTGATAATCAAGCCAGGATAGTGAAATATAAAAGCAGTGTCTGTAATTTGTATCTTAAATCTATTGCAGCCAACTAGGACAACTCATAGCCAAAAGGCGTACTCCCAGAATCCAAGAACAGTATGCCAAAATTGGTGGCGGATCTCCAATCAAACAATGGACAGCCATCCAAGGTGAAAGAATGGTGGAAATACTTGACCGAATAAGCCCAGAAACTGGTATAAATTTCATTTTGATTTATTAGACCACCCATAAACCTGTTAGGTTCCTTTTAAAAGCTGTTCATAATACAAGATGTTGAGTTAATGTTATCACTTGTATTAATAATTTCACATATTTTAATTTGTATTTACAATACAAGTTATTATTATTACTCACATTAAACAATATTAGATTAAGCAAGCATAATAAGAAATTAATAAGAAAAAGTTTACTTTTTTTAGAATGGAATTGCAAACTGATATCACACTAGAAGCTTTTTCCATTCAAGTCCCCAGTTGACAATTTATACCAATTTTAGTATTTGCCATATTACAATTTTCAAATGTGACAGTCATTCTCAAAAAAAAAAAAAAACAAAAACAAAAAACAACCAGCAATCGTCTTCGTGGGGAAATTCTGAAATTTTACACCCACACACCTGAAAGTCTTTAGTGTAATATGTATGAAAATACTTGTAGGACTAATCAGATTTTGTCACAATAAATTCAAGGAGGAAACTAGTAGAACTAATTTGCTAATAGTAGATACTTATGTGTCATCTATGTTATTGCTAATCTGTTTTTTTTTTTTTTAAATAAGAAACAAAGCTGGTAGCATTCTATTTTGCTTTCTCCTTAAGTCATAAGGCATTTAAACATCAAAAATCACATATCCAAATGTTCTCAAATGTGTCACAATTCTCATATGTAATGTATGGAGTGTCTGTATGAGATATAGTGTCTTGTAACCTAGATTGTTTTTAATCAGCATTTCAATTTGGTCATTCTGAACAGATGTAGTCCCACTGGAACATTCTTAGAATTTTTTTAATTGTTTTTTTTTTTTTTTAAGCTGTTTGAATGGCATTTCTCCTTTCTGGAAATAAGAGCATGAAATGACAAAATACATTTTGTTTTCTTCCATTTTTCACTTTTAATATAAAAATACTTATAAATCACAATCCATGCATGGATCACAGAGGAATGTGTTAAAATGTCAAATTTCAGAAAATTTATACATGTCATAATTTCAGTGCTGTGAGAAACGAAATCATATATTCAAATGCTACCAATTGAAAAACATTATCAACTGCTATTCCAACTGGATATTATTTTTTTTTTTTTTTTTTTTTTTTTTTTCCAATTAATGAATTGATGGGAGGGAGGGGTTATTTTACTAAAGAACAATCACTAAAGAGTAGTAAGAACAGTATTTTTGGTATAACTACTGCAGTAGTGAGGCCAGTAAAATAGGAAAAAAAAACATGATCATCAAGAAAGCTATGTTTCCTGTTTGTTGGGATGTAAAATCAGAATAGTTCTCTCATTTGTTTTTTTTTTTTTTTTTTTAATTTTCCTCTACAGCTCCTCACAAATATTACATTGGTTTTCGGTATGCTCCACCATTAGCAGAAGACTCAATTGAAGAAATGGAAAAGTAAGTAAATGATCTTTTTGTTTCAATGACATTCATAGTTAAAGACAGACTGGAAACTTTCTTGATTTAGAGGCTGGTAAACAAGATTACATGTTTTTGTTATTAAACTCTTGAAATTGGTTGAAATATCAGGCAAGAAATTATTTTGATTATAAAGATTTTTATTATTTATTTTTTTTTATTTTTTTGGTAATAATGATTTAGTTTTACTAATTAACCCATAGCTGGGGGAGAAGTGGTGTATTCTTACCTATTCAGAATTTGATAAAGAAATTATGAGATGAATATAAAGTGGGGGATCAATTCTCTATTACGATCAATATATGAATTGATCCCTGACTTTGTGGACGCAGTAGTTTCTACACTTATATTCCAGAGAATGGCATCTTTTAGATTTATTCACAATGTAGCTAATCAGTATTTCATTTATTGATTGATTTTGTTTTCTATGGCTTATTGACACTTTGCAGATTAATGGAAACAAGAAAATATTTTTAGATTGTTATCTCAACAAAAAAAAATTCTCACAGTGATTTAGTGATACAAGTCTTATGAATTAATCCAAGTCTTATGAATTAATCCATAGATGGGGAGAATAGAGGTGAATTCATCTTTCCCAAGGGTATTTATATGTAAGTAAATATAACAGACCCAACTGAAATTGAAAGCTCGGCTCTCTGATTAACAATTCCAAGCCAGTATCTATTGCACCACTCGCACGTCTCAGCTTACAACACCTAGTATTCCCAAGTGGTCTCCCATCTAAGTACTGACTAGGCTCGATGGGAGTCTGTGCTAAGAAATTTAGAATGCAGAAAAAAAAAATATTAATATCTGCAGAAAGCCGGACAAACATCGATTCAATGGTTGAATTGGTAATGTCTTTTATATAGCAGAAAAGAATAGTAGAGAAGAGAAACAGGTTACAGAAAAGAAAAGTAAAAAAAAACTTACACACTCTCTCTCTCTCTCTCTCTAGAATCCAGTGTATATGTGATTATCTTGTTAAATCGTCTCAGAATGACATATGACTCTTGCGATTCAGGCTTAAAGTTATAGTGGTGTTCCTCCTTCCAACACTCAGTTGGGCCAATTATCTCTTCAAGAATTTTTATCTCGTCTACCTTTTGCAGCATAACTACGCGTTTATATAGATAAATGCGGCTGGTTTTGACTGACCCTCAGCCCTACTACTTTGCATGCAATTACCACGGGGTTCCGGCTGCTTCAACCTTCCTTCTAGATTTCCATTGTCTTCTGAAATGGGTACAATTTCTGGACTAGATCAGATTTCCCCAAAACAAAATGCTGATTTAATTTTGCTATCAAATCTAGTTGAATTTCACTAAAAAAAAAAAAAGTGTATGTTTCCCAGACTCTCTGTCACAGAAAAACCTTTGGACATTGTGTGTGCAAAAGGTCCAAGTTTGCCAAAACTGAGACAAAAACAAAGTACAATTTTTTTTTTTTTTTTTCATTCTAGTGATGGTGTTGAACGAGCAATAGCTTTTACACAATATCCACAGTATACATGTTCCACAACAGGAAGCAGTCTTAATGGCATTTATAAATATTACAGTCAACGTGGAGCACCAAGTGATATGATCTGGAGTGTAATTGATCGATGGCCTACCCACCCAGGTTTGGTGCAGGTAAGTAGAGAAGTTTCTCATTCAGATTGAATTATTTTTTTATTAATTTTTTTTTTTTTTTTTTATTATTTGAAACATTAGGCATATTGAAATTTAACTTGTTCCTTATGCATCATGCTTATAAAAGATCAA